AGACCTGAGTAGTTCTACATCTTCCTCAGAAGTTCTCTATGGCCTCAAAGCACCAGGTATAGCAGAACCCCAGCAAGGCAAGAAAACCTTGTCTAAGGTGGTTCTGAGAGGAATACTGAAGTAGCAGACCACGAGACTGGGTAGGTGAAAGATTCTGTAGTGTAACTGAGACTATCAATGCACTAGAAAATAAGCAGAATTGTAAGTAACTGAAAGTCTAGTATACAAGAACAAACCATTTTGGTGAGCATGGAGTAATGTAAGAAAAATAGCACCAAGATTGACTATCTTCCACCTCAGAGATGTTAAGAGAATCTACTGTCACAGAAGCATCCTGTAGACTCCATCAGGTTCCAACCTGCCATGTGGTTTTATTACTTCAAAGAGACAATTGTGTGGAAGTAGGAAACAAAAATGTAAGCTCAAATCACCACTTTCCAGCTTAAAGCCCATTTATATCCACTTGCTTTGTTGTGAACAGGACTTAAAACCCTTTTTTTTTGTCCTTAGTATAGTTTAAAAGCCTGTCTTCATACTTCTTAGCAGTATTCATGTTTTCAGCCTCAACTCTACACAAAGTCAAGAGTCCTTCCATATGTCCTTTACACCATCTTTAAAACTGAATTCATCACCAAGTGCTCTCAGCACAGAGGGTTTAGATGCTACCTAAGCACCTTTTATAAATATATATTTTTTACTTTTAGCTGTTTTCTTATATTTCTCAAATCTCTCTAGCTGGCAAATTACCCTATCTTTATTCTAAATTATTACTTACATAGCTGACTTATTATACTCAATATGCAAGAACCAAGATTTTGACCTATTATATTTCATCTTCATAGATCAAGGGCCTGTAACTCCAACCTTTTACAGCCTTTGTGAACAGATTCTGTTATCCAATATGTTCACTACCTTTCTCATCCTCCCTTCATGCATTTTCCTCTACAAAGAGGGAGAAAAGTCTCTTCCAACCTTTCTACATCCAGTTCCCTGACGAAACTACCTATATCTAGGTCACAATGGTGACTGCTATCCCATTTGTTGTATTCAGGGCATCCTAAACAGCATGAAGAATTAAAGCATTACATGGTACTCATGCTTACTTCTCTGCCCACAAATAGCATCCTATACTAAGGCTACTTCTCCTATGCTACAACTGCAGAATGTTTCATACAGGGTTTCCTTCCTTCTCCTCCTCAATCTATACTTACGATTACAGAAAAATGGATTCATGTTGAAGGGAGTCAAATCACTATTCTATAATTTAAATAACAGAACTAATTTCTTAGGAACCTCGAATTTAGAAACTCTAAACATTTATTCCTCTTTTACTCCAGTCACAGCGTTTTTTTAACATAGTACTTCAGCTTTCTAAAAAAAAAAAAAAATTAGATTTACAAATGCCCCAGTGCAGAATTCTCTAGTAAAGGAATGGCACATTTTCTGAATTATAATATTAAAAAAATTAGGGCATTTAAAAAAAAAAAGCTAGTGCCAAAACAATACCAGTTTGCTGATGTCCAAAAGCTAGCCAATAAAAACATTTGTTCCCATAATCCAAACAGATTGTTAGCCATAGAATACCTCTGCAAACCAATTCTTAAATCTTCTTTGAAATAATGTCACTAAAATTAACTGAAACTTTATTTATATGACTGTCTGTGGTTTCCTTGTATGCTTAAAAAACACAAGAAAAAGATAAAAATATCCCAGAATTGGAAAAGTAGTCATTATACTTGGTTTAGCTTATTTCCATATTTTTATTTTTAAAATCCATCCAAATTAAAGTTCAGCATTTCCCAATAGAAGAAAAGAAAAATAAGGCAATTTCTTTACACAGAAACCAAAAGAATAAATTCAGCACCCTCTAAATTAAATTGGGGATTTCACTTTTTAGGAAATTAATGCCTAAAATCCTTTCCTACAAGTCATAAAGCTTAGTCTTCAGACTGAACACAATTATCTTTCCTTTAGACTTCAAACAAATCAAATATATGCTGGGGAGGAGAGGTAGAAATAGAAAATAATTTCAATATAATATTGTGCTCTGAACCCAGACCTGTCGCCAGATAAAATAAATAAGTGAAGCTGGTTTCCATCTAATAACACAGCATTCTTTTCTTTTAACATTTCTAAACCTCCATTCTCCCAAATCATAGAACCCTATTTTCAGATGCTGCATTTACACTAAAATACAAATGCTAATCATAACTTAAAGCATCACTCTCAGAATATTCTCAGATCTTGGCGCACAATAAAAGTCAAAAGACCTGGGTTTGAATCCTAGCTCTGCTGCATCTTAGCTGTTAGACCCAAGTGAAATTGTTTAAACTTCCTAATCCTTAATTTACTTATTGGTAAATTACATACTACCATGTATCATCTAATTTATGTAAATTCATCACAGTCTATCAATCCTATACAACTGTTAAATCACTACCATCCTGGAATCAACAAACCACTGAGGGACTGAGCCAGATCACCTTCAACTAGAGTAAGATTTTATTAGGCCTATCTCTGGTCTTGAAGCTATAGGGGTTACTCTAGTTACACAGTATTTCATAGTTATTCAAGTTATTGCTGTTCATATGCAGAACAGTTGCATGTCCCTACCTCATGAAGTATAACCCAAAGTAATAAATAATAAAAAGACAATGAAAAATTAAGTTAATGATTCCATTATGCTTTTAAATGGACTTTGACAGATGTTAGAGAAATTAATTTTGTACTTGACACAACACAATAGAGGATCAGAATTGCTATCAAATACAGAAAAAGGAAGAAGAAATTTCTAATGTAACCCAGCAGATCAAATATTCTTTTTATTAAATTTATTGGGGTGACACTGGTTTATAAGATCATATAGGTTTCAAGTGTACATTTCTATGATACATGATCTGTATATTGCATTGTGTGTCCACCACCCAAAGTCAAATCATCTTCCAACACCATATATTTGGCCCCCTTTCTCTTTTATGACTCAACAATAATCTAGCACAAAAAATCTGAAATGCTTTGCTAAGCATCAGCCAAGAAGTCATCTTGGAAAATGTCAGCTGAGGAAAAATTCTGTGTACCTATTAGTACCTCCATTCCACCAACTGGCAGCACATGACTCTAGTACTGGAGAACCACTGACAGCACTTGAACACAGGAGTGTCTGTCATACAAAGAAGAAAAAAAACATTTACTAACTGGTAAAATTAGTGTCTCTCCCTCACTACTGGAGAAACATCAGAGGCATCACACTATTTATTCCCTTGACTTTCAAAACACAAAAATCATCCCTTGTCAGTCATAAGTCATAGCTGAATAGCTAGTGCCAAATCATATCTCTCTGCCCCCATAATTTCTGTTGTTCTTAAAACTCAGGAAGGTAGTTCACTGTTCAAACTGTCAAAGTGCTGTAGTTTACACACCTCCATACTTTGATGTGAGAGAAGGTAGGAACTCACAAAAAGTTCAAGAGGTCTCCAGCACCAAAATCTTTCCTTCAGTCACCACTGAAAGGATGCTTACACAGGGTTTAAAAGCTTTAAGAGTACAAATGAAAACCTAGTTATTCACACAGTGGGGCCAATTACTAGTGCTTGTAGGCATGTGGAGGAGGAAAAGAAGGAATACAGGGGCTCTTTTCCTTGGATCCTCACATTCTCTCCCCATTTTAATAACAAAATTCAAGATTTGCCCTTTATGTGGGTCTACAGAACACACAGCCTTCTTTACACAGCCGGGTTATAATAATCAAAATTAGGCATTCAGTCATGTACCTTCTACTCACAGTGAAGCAGAAATGGACAGTCATTAACTAAAATGAAAAAATTCACAATTTTCAACACCAGTTTTACTCCTAATTGATAATTCTGATCCACACTAACAAGAGAATGAACAACTCTTCTGGGGCAGAAGCTGCAAGATGTCGAACAAACAGCAACAACAATAACGGTAATCAGCTACCTCATTTAATGAGCACTTACTTTATGGAATACATTGTTCTAAGCATTTTATGTGTATTTTTAACCCATTTTATCTTTACAAAAACCCTATGAGATTAGTAATGACAATACTAATCATTTTATAAATGAGGGTTCTGCTGTTCACACAAGTGACCTTGTAAAAGTCAAACCACATAGCTGGGATTCCCACACAAGCAATCTCCTCTAGAGCCTGCACACTTCGCCATCATATTATACCAAATGATCTCACAACAAAAACTGCTTTGAAGAACGCTTCTCATAAGTTTGTGTGTGTGTGTATATACACAAAGACAACATAAATACATACATACACACACATACACACACACACTCCGGTATGTTTGAGAACCAAACTGCATAGTCATATTGCAAATATTTTAGTGATCATCTTTCCAATCCTTCATGTAACCATCATGGATGACCACCAGACAGAAGGTCCTAGCCATCATAAATTATGCTCAGCCATTACATTCCTTTAAAATGGCTAACAAAACTAAAGCAGTTGAATTGCACTATTATAAAGCAATCTAGAGATCCCATAGCTAAAAAGAAAGAATTTGGACTTGCAAACTCAACATGACTGGTCACCATTAAACCAACCTTTCCCTTTTTTTTTTTTTTTGGGGGGGGGGTCTGTTTTTTGTTTAATTTTCGCCAAAACAATAATCTGGAAATTTTCAGAAAAAAAAAAATATATATATATATTTGTTTAGCGACACACTATCACTAACATTTTGACTGAAGAGTCAAAAGACTTTCTCATCTTCCAAGTACATAAAAAACATCAATTTCATCTTTAATATTAGAGAGAAGTTTAAATGGGAAGAAGAACAGCAAAACAGGCATTCCAGAATCAATATAATCAAAGGGTACTGTACTAGGTGGGGAGGGGTTATTTCTGGTAACATGTTACAGTTAAATCACCAAATTATTTAACAGTAACTATAACATAAGTATAATCATAAATGTAACTTAAGAAGAAAAGTATCATTACATAAGTACAATAATATAGCATCAACTTACCAATTCAATTCCCTGTGGAAAAGGTGTATCATCCCAGTCCTTCTGTGGAAATCTCTGGATTATTTTCCCCAGACCTGCTCCTGACCCTATTAATAAAATCAAAGTAAATGGGGTTCTATAAAATCTGAATACTCATTATGTTAATACTTATTTCTAAATGAATGTTTGTTGAATAAATTGATATACTAATTAAACATTTTCAAGATTTAAAGGACATAAAAATATTTACCTTCTAAACATAATAATACGGAAATGACAGGCAATTTGTATCCAACAGACTCTTAAAAGTATCATATATATGAAAAGCTAAGAAAAATAGAAACACTAACATCTAAGAGTCTCTAGCACACCATGGGAGTAACTGCCTTTGTTCCCAATAAGAAAAGCAATCTTCTCAGTATCTCAAGTTGAAACTTGAAAAGAATTTTTCTATGGAGACAAATGAAATGGTACTGTTAACACTAACCTTCAGTTATGGGTTATAAACACTGTTGTGAGTAAAATAAAGATTTTTACAGTGGTCTGGGAACTTGACTATTGTCTAGGCAGGATTTCTTAACATCAGCACTACTGATATTTTTGGGCTGGATAATTCTCTGTTGTGTGTTTAGGGGGAGGTTGTTTGGGGGGGGGGGTCTATGTCCTGTGCTTTGTAAGATGTTTATTTAGCAGCATCCTTAGCCTCAATCCACTAGATACTAGTAGCACCCTACCACCACTACTAAGTCATTACAATAAAAAAAAATCTCTAGATACAGCCACATGTCCTCTGGCAGGGGCAAAACTGCCCCTGATTGAAAACCACTTGTCTGTGTCATTGTTGTTATAAAATTATCCTGTAACACTAAAGAATGGATTGACTTTTACTTGAACATTGGGGATGTAATCTGTGAGTAACTTGGGGATGGAAAGTATATGTTAGATCTAAATTGCTTTTTGCTACACTTTTTAAAGAGCTTCATGTGTTTGCATATTCTACATTGTGTCCCAGCTTACTATGAAGTGAAAGCAACGACATTCTGATTATATGTACATCTGATTATATATAAGGAAGCCTGTAGCACCGATTCAATTTGTTAATATATATTTTCCCACCCTCTCTGTTAATTTTTTTTATCACCCACTATCATCCCTCACCCTCATCCCTGTTCATTCAACTTTCCCTTTGCCCCTCACCTAGAGTTCAATCACTTTATGGCCAAATTTTTACCTTTAAAAGATAAATGGAAAGTTAAATTCATTTTACTGACCAATTTGGCACTATGTTCTAAAACTGAAGTCACATTTTAAAAAGGCAAAATAAAGACATTCTCAGTTGAAAAGTTAACAATCGCTGCAGTAGAGTAACTCCTCATGTATCTATCATTATAGGGGAATGACCGATTTCATTAAGAGTAAACTAAAGTAAAAGTGACTTATCACACAAGCACTCATTTCTCATTCACCTCAAGCATCACCACTTCTGACATCTCAAGCAGAGCTAATTCAAAATTTGCTAGGTACTGGAGATATACAAATGAAAAGGCATGGCCCCCATCCTCAAGGAACTATAATCTATTTGGAGAACAGACAAATGAACTGATCATTTCAGTGTACCAGAGAAAGCACAATGATAGAAGGGAACCTACTCTAGCATAGCGGAGAAGACATGGAAAACTTTCTAGAAAAAATGACAGCAAGCTTTTTCTTTCTTTAAATGCCTGGCACTTAGTTCATGCTGAGTTAAATGTTTACTTTAATAAATTCATTAATATCAACAGAAATTGTTTTAAGCTCACATCTTCCTGTCTTTTTAAACAGAGATAAATGCATGTTATTTAGCTCATCATCTTTAATCAGGTGTCCCTATACTGTTTGTTTAGTTCTAGAAGTCATACCTAATATATTTTAGGCTCAAGAAATATTTTGTCATATTAATTTTTACTAATTATAATAATGTGAGCTACAAAAATTTTTTGAATATAAAGAAGAAATCACCCACAATCCCACACCTGAGGACAACTGCTGCTAACATTTTGGACTCCTTTATCCTTGGGGGTTTTGTGCACATGCACTTTTTCTACAGAATTGGGATCCCACTAACCCTGGCTTTACATACTGGTTTGGTGCCCAGCAGTTCCAATGGGCCTGTGCTGCTGCATGTACATTCTTTAGCTTCTCACTATTACAAACAGCGCTGCGAAAAGCACCTTTCATACGAGTCCTTATCCTCACCTCACTCTTCCCTAGGAAAATTCTTAGATGTACAGCTGTATGAAATTCAGAGATCACACAAAGCCAAAGGGCCCACCAGAAAGACACTGAACAACTGTTTTAACATTCTGTGTATAAGAATGACACTGGCATTTTCACTACAGCCTTACCAACAACTATTATTTTTAAATTTTACTTGTTTTAATTATTACAAATTTGACAGATGAAAAGTTCCTCTCTGGCAGGAGCATAACTTTCAAAAGTTCTCCAGAAGCAACATATTATTTACTGATTTCACAATAACATACAGTGTTTCAAAATCATGAAAGTTTAGTTTGAAATGCAGATAAAACATTTACAAATGCACACAGAAATATGATTTCATGGTGATAGTGGAAATTAGGTTAGAAAAAAGAGCAAAAATAAAAATGGCTGATATTTCACTGCAAATAAAATGTAGACAGAGCTACACTAACTTTGTTTCTAAATATGTAAATTGCTGCAGTTAGCAACTTTTGAGGAACTTATGAAAGTACCCTATAAAAAGTAAACAAATATTTTTTGAATACTGTTTCTTGATTTGTAAGTATTTAGTCTGAATGTTTAAACATTTCCCGAGTTTATGTATTTTACCTGATAACTATTTTTAAGGCAGTACTGGCTGTATGTAAAAATTCTGAGAAGATGATTTTTTATATTGAGAAACAAGCAGCAGTGAGGAAAGACTTCTAGAGTCAGGTGTCTACACCTCCAGGCTGATCCTTACGTCCAGAGGTAGAACAGGTCATGTCAATCAGAGTGGTTGTGAAAGCAGCTTTTATTTGCACTACATATTAAATAGGGCTGGGTAGGGGGAGGGAGAAATTCCTCAAAAGAAAGGGAACCATTTCCTAGAAAGGAGAGGTGCTAGGTGGCAAAAGATTGTCCACTGCATTGTATGCAGCTGATGTGAAGGAAGGAGGGAGCAGTTATTAGTCAGTGCCTTCATGTTTTGTTTTTTCAGACCCTACTCTCCCACCCCATTCATTATAAAATCAAGAAATATAATGACCAAGTGGAGTTAATATATAAAAAGGTGGGGGAGGATCCTCAGCAAGATACCGGAACATTTGGAAATGGCTTTCTTTGAAAAAAGTAGATATGCTAGACAAGCTGCCCAAAACAAATTTAGAAAGTGTGAGGAAATACTGGCATGGTCAGGCACACTTTTCCCTGCTTTATGTTTGGTAACCCACTTTCCCTTGGGCCCTGGTAGGGCTATCAGGCTACCCATGGTAGTCACTAGGATTAGCAACTGACCTAGGATGATCCAACCATCCATTACTCCCTGGCAAAGTGACTGTTCTAGCCTTGGCCAAGGACTCTAGAAGAATCAAGTAGTATTCTCTGGGTTGTGAACACCGTGCTATGGGTGTGAACTTGCCAGTAGCTATGAGAAAGAAGTAAATATGCAGAAGAACTGAAGAATATCATAAAAATGTACACCTATGTGATCCTATTAACCAATGTCACCCCAATAAATTTAATTTTAAAAAAATAATAAGTAGGGGTTAATTAATTAGAAGGAGAAATAGAACACGGTACTCTGCTCTAGACAAACAGATTGCTTGGCATTTGTTGACCACACCAACTGACAAAGATTATGTGAGTGCCTTCTGTGTGTGGTTACAGTGTAGATATACCAAGTATATACAGGGGTAGGCAAAAATATGTTTACAGATACAAGTATGTGAAACAGTTTATTCTTCTGTTATTATTTATTAATTATTGTCTTATCTGTATTACAACTGTAAACCTACTTTTGCCCACCCCTATATGTAAAGCTTGTTTAAATATAGATGCTAAACTTTTAAGAAATGCTATTCTAGCCCGGCCGGGCGTGGCTCAGCGGTTGAGCATCGACCTAGGATCCAAGAGATTGGGGTTCGATTCCCGGCCGGGGCACATGCCCGGTTTGCGGGCTAGGCAGCTGATCAATGACTCTCTCATCTCTCTCTCTCCCCCTCCTTTTCTCTCTCTGAAATTAATAAAGATGTGTTTAAAAAAAGAACTGCTATTCTAATACATAAATCGCTAAATCTTTTGCTATGATATGTTTAAGAGGTTATCTACACTAGACTTGTTTTATGTCCATCTGCCCACAACCCCTCTAACAAAAATGGCACTGCCCACAGTTCAAGGAAGGGCAGCAGTCACGCACACACCCCTTATAGCAGCCAGAGAGAAATTACTAAGTCACTTATTTGGTTATTATACTTACTGTTATTTGTGTGTCTCACTTAACTAGAATGAAAACAATGAATTTTGACCTGCTTTACTTAGTGATGTATCCCACCCAGGCACGTAGAGTAATTCCTGGTATATATTACTTAATAGCAGGCTTGTTAAATAAACGAATGGGACTCTGAGGTGGGTAAGGGCATCTATAAACTGACAAGCAACTTATTACCAGAGTGATCTGGCTGTTAATAGGTATCTTTGACAAGTCAAATTCCTCTGCTAGGGAATTTTGAATTTTAAAAAATAAAAAGGAGAGACTGAATAAAGTGGCTTAAAAGATGTGTAAAGACTTGCTATGACGTAGAGAAAGCTCAGGCAATCGTAGGGGGGTCATGTGTAAAACTGAAGTTACAGAACAGCATAAACTCTAGGCCGAGACTTGCCAATAGAAACACATGTAGAGAGAAGCAGAGGCACCACAGTAAACTCCAGCAGCATTATAGTGTCTGTCATCAACCTTCTTATGATATTTCTCCCTTTTAAGCCGGAATGGGCCTATATTCCTTGTCACTAAAAGTCCAAACTAGAACACACTGTAAGAAGCACATTCAAACTGGTAAAGGGTCTGGAAACAATTACATTAAAAAAAAGATTTAGTCAGAAATTTTAAAAATAAGAAGCATGCGTGAGAACTTTCTCCAAATATCTGAAGAGCTATTATATAGAAGAAGATAGTGTGAAGCAGACTAGAGCCAAAGACATAATTCAGAGGAGATATTTTTGAGTCAATATAAAGAACCTCCTGAGCCCGGCTGGCATAGCTCAGTGGTTGAGCGTCGACCTATGAGCCTGGAGGTCACGTACGATTCCTGGTCAGGGAACATGCCCTGGTTGCCGGCTCGATCCCCAGTAGAGGGTGTGCAGGAGGCAGCCTCTGAATGATTCTCTCTCATCACTGCTGTTTCTCTCTCTCTCTCCCTCTCCCTTCCTCTATCTGAAATCAATAAAAACTTAAAAAAAACACAAACCATCTGAAAATGAGAACTATCAAAACATAGAGTGTGCTGCCACAGAACACAATGATCAGACTGAGGTTTCAGTACAAGATACACGTTTCTGTGGTCTGGGAAACCAGGCAGAATGGTATGAGGATAAACCCAGAAAGTCTGACAAGTGGACTATTACATAATTCATTTATTCAACAATAACACTATTCGAGGCCTAGTGTTAGGTGCTAAGAAGAGAAGGATACAGTTTGCTGTAAGAACATTTAGGACTTGAACGAAGTTTTTTGAAATGCAAATACAAGGACAGATACAGGCACAGTATCATGACAGTAAAGATTAGGAAAGAAAATATTGTTTAGAAATCAGGTCATGAGTCTAATGAAATCAGAGATAGAAAAACTAAAAAAAATCCACATTTTGGAGAAGAGATAATTCTTATTTCTATTTTGACATAATGGTAGCATCATTTAAGTCCAATGATGAGAAATTTAAACTTTCAAGAATGCAAATATCATGTCATCTGCAAATACAGACTCCACCAAAAAACTGTTAGAACTAATCAATAAATTCAGTAAAGCTGCAGGATACAATATCTACA